TTATATAAGAAGGCTGCATCTTTTTAATCCATTCTTCAGTTGAGGGGCATTTGGGTTGTTTCCAAGGTCTGGCTATTACAAATTGCGCTGCTATAAACATGGGTGCATATATATTGCTGTGGCACGATGTTTTTAGTTCTTCTGAGACAATACCCAGAAGAACAGCTGAGTCAAAGGGCATCTCTAGTCCTAGTGCTATAAGGAATTTCTACAGTGGTTGCATTAGTCTACAGTGCCAACAGTGGAGAAGGGCTCCTTTTTCCCCACAGCCCCTCCAGCATTTATTTTTGGTTGATTTTTTCAATAATAATCATTCTTTCTGGAGTGAAATAGAATCTCTATTGTTTCTTTTTTCATCTCACCAATGACCAATGATGTTGAACTTTTTTTGTATATTTATTTGCCATTTGTATTTCTTCATTTGATCAGTGTATTTTCATTTCAGATGCCCATTTTTTGATTGAGTCTTTGAATTTGGGAATTCTGATTTTTTTTTCAACTCTTCCTATTCTCTAGATGGAAGTCTCATTGGCTAACTGTGGGATGTCTTTTTGTTCTGTGTGTGATATTTCTTTTGATGTGCAAAAAATTTTTAATAAAATGATATAGATTTTATGGTATAGATTCTTTGAAGTATTTTCTGTGTAGTTTGGGTTTTATGAACTCTTTGTCTATACTTATGTCTTTAAGATTTCTACCTACTTTCTCTTACAGTAGATTTAGTGTTTCTGTTTTAATATTTTTATCTGTGATCCTTTTCAACTTTAGTTTAGTGCATGATGATACATATGGGTCTAGTTTTAGTCTTTGGCATGTAAACAGTCAATTTTTTCAGCACCAATTATTAGAAAGGCTACCTTTAATTCAGTGAACATATTTGGCCATTATTCTATACAACTTATTATTATCTTGTATATTTCTGTACGTTGAATGGGTTTATCTGTAGAATTCTCTTATTTTTATTTTGTAGTAATAGTAAAGCATTTGGGGCTTGTTCATATAGCTGGCATTTGACACAGGCCCTTTGGCTGGCAGTGTAGCCAGAGCTGTCAAAGACAGAACCAAAACAAGTTGCTTGGCCTTCTCAGGTAGGACAGTTCAAGAAGGCAATGCTCCAAGCAGTTGCATCCCAAGAAAATCAGGTAGAAGTTACAGAATCTCTTATGACCTACCCTTACAAGTGCCTGAAGTTATTGCTCACTAGACACAAACCATAACATTCTTCCCCTGGCCCTCCAAAGACTCATGCACATCTCTTTATGCAAAAGGCATTTTAACCCATCTCTAAGAGTTGCCAAAGTCCTAACAGTTTCACCATTGTTGAAAAGTCTAAGTACCAAGTCTCCTCTAAGATCTAAGGCAAACACTTAGTTGTGAGCCCCTGTACAAATAAAAAGTTAAATACTCCAACATTCAATGGCACAAGATAAACATTACCATACCAAAAGGTACAATAGCAAGACTGGGACCAAAACAAGTCCAAAATTCAGAAGGGCAAACAAATCAAGTAGTTTCATGTGGAACATCTGAAACAATCTGTAACAAATTGTGAGCTCCATGTGGCTCCACCCCTATGGCACTCTTGGTGGTAGCTCCAATGGCTTCACCTTTGGGCCAGCTTTGTGAGCTCCTTGCAGTTTCCCTTAAATAATCCATGTTCCTCTCTTTTCCAAACCTGGCTTTTCCAAACTTCTGGAGTTTCCACTTCATGTTAAGCTTCTCGCTTTCTGCTTCACATCTTGCCCTCTCAGAGGTACACTGCCTAGCCTTCCATGCCTTCTTAAATCTAGGTGGAAGCCTTCTTAGCATCAGAACTCTTTCATTCCGCTTGTGCTTAAGACCAACACCATGTGGATGATGCCAAGGTCTGATGCTGGCTGGAACAGTAGCCAGGCTTTCTTCTCTCTTGGCTGTAGGGGTGAAATGCTGGATTGCTGAGCACTCTGAACCTGATTCTGAGGAACAAATTCTCTATGCAGCCACAATTCTAGAACCTGGTGTGGTCACCACCACTATTCTGGAACATCATGCTCTGGCTTTCTCTCCAAAGCAAAGTCCCTCATCTTTGTGTTTCTGAGGTTGCAAAGGGCAGAGACCTGCCAACCCCTGTGATGCCCTCAGGCCATCATTTTCATTCTCGTGTTCCTTCTTACAACGGAAATACTCTCAACTCTATCTTTGTAGTCCACAGCTTTATTGGCACTTTTGTTCTGTATAAACTCACATTTTAAATCATCCTGTTGGGCTCTTTGCTCTTGATTCTCAACACAAATCTGACCAAAAGCCCCCAACAGTAGCCACGCCACTGCCTCAATATTCGACCTCCTTGAAATTTCTTTTGCAAGATTAACCAGTCAACTATGCTTCATCTCAGTCTCAGGCAAAATATCTGGGCAGAAGAAAACTGCAGATAAACTCTCTGTCAAACCATAACACACAATACCCTGAGTCCAACAATCAATACAGTCCTTTTTCCCAGAAGGAACCTCTCCAGCTTGCTCTTTATAGGCAGGGTTTCTATCAGTCTTCTGGTCTTCTGAACTCTGACCAGAATCTTTCATGCAGAACAATGTTCAAGTACTTCTCTTGTAAGTGACATCTCCAAACACTTCCTATCTCTTCCCATATGCCATTCCAAAAGGCTTGTGATCCACATGGTCAGGTTTAGTCACAGCAATGACCCCACTGTCAGTACCAAATTCTGTCTCAGTTATTTGTCTCTTGTTGCTGGGACAAAATACCTGATACTCAACATTAAGGAGGGAAAGGTTTATTTTTTTTTTTAACTTTGTAAAGCTTTAATGCAAGAACATCAGTACACTTTCTTTCCAACAATCTTAAAGCATGATCAATACCAAGACTTTAAATATCCACCTTTCAAGTGCTTGAAAAAGAGTTTCAATTAACTGTCTTTTCAATGATCACACTGGCGTTAACTGTCCTCATGTTTGCGGACACTGGGGCCTCTGCTGGGCCACCAGCTCTGGCCCCACTGGCAGCAGGAGCAGGCAGGGCGCAGCTTCAAAGGGCAGATGCAGGACAAGCTATACCAGCACCTTCATCTTCACCAGTGTCTGAATCTGGGGTTGTAACTTGACTCTCCTGAAGCCCCAGGATCTCACAAACAGCTTGTGGCAATTCCTTGCATTTTACCATCTGTAGAGAAATCGCTTCTGCCTTGCATAGCACATCCTCCACATCAATTTTCATGGACAACTCATTGATATGCTTAAGTATTTAATTGAAACCATAATGCTTTTCCATTATTTGTTGCTTTTCTGATTCGAGAATAGCACAACAGAGAAGAAGATAGAAATTTTTACATGGCAGCTCAGTCCACATTACCTCTCATAGTCAAAGAATATCCAGAAAACTAAATTCCCTTTTAAATCTGATTAAAAGCCATCTGGAGCAAAAATATAGGTAATCTGAGTTCTGAGATTCTAAGTGACTGAAAAAAACCACTGTCCAACAACTGAAGTAAGGTGCTCAGCTGAATTAACTGGGTCTTCATACCTTGCATTTTTTCTTCAAAATTTTGATGCATGTGGTCCATGTAAGAGGCAAAGCACCAAAAGGCGTCCACTTTATTTTCCATCACATACAAAAGAGGGGAAAGTAAGTCGTTCATTCCTTGCACGTATCCTAAATCAAAATCATACATACATACATGATCATTAAAATGTCATGAAGCAAAATCAGCCCTGGATTATCTTGGCCTTCACAAAATTTGTTTGTTCAATCTGTTCAGTTAACATCCTTTTCAATAAGACTTCTATAATCTCTTAACCTTGAATTTCTCTTCTCTTGTTCCTCACTGACAGATTTCCACTGTAGCTTCATCCTGAAGTATTCATCAATTTTTGGCTTTTGTAATTGGGTTCTTTCCTCCTTAGTACTGTCTCAAGGAAAGTAATCCAGCAGAAATTTCCAGGTTTGTTTTCTCAATGAATGACTAAGACCCCCTTTAAATATCATCTGCTTCATGTTCTCCACATTTAAGATCCTTCCTTCAGAATCAATGTCCTTCATCCACTCTTCCAGTGACAATGGCTCTCTCCTCTGAATGACTGGTAGTTCTCGCAAATCAATTCTTGTGATGACTTCAAATTCTGGTTCTTCTTGTTGGTTTATCTTTAGACCTGGACTAGCGTCACTAGGAAATCTGCCATTTCCAAAGGTGGTCGTTGATGCACAGAAGGATCGCTGCCTCTTAAACTATCAAAAATGTAGTTTGTAACTTTGGAAAATCCTACAATAGTTACTGTGTAAGGATCTTTTTTAATTTTTTGTGTTAAACCATATGCTGGTTCATCAAGAAAATTTCAAAAGACTGTGAAAGATTCTTATTTTGACAGTTCACAAGAAGTATTCTTTTATCTTGTGGAGATTCACACAATACCACATATTTCTCAAGAGAGTCAATCAGTAGTTTGCTCTCTCCTTAATGAAAGTGCAGAGCAGGGAGAACAACGTCATCCTTTAGACAGATACCAAATATGACCAGCCCATAGCCTTTGTGTTTTGCTTGATTGATTTCAGGTCTGTCAAACTGAACAGAAATGACCATTTACTTTTCTCATTTCTATGACTTGGAGCATCTCCATTGGTATGTGGCTTATTTTTAAAAGAAACTGTATTAACCATATCCTACTCAGCTTCATAACTGCTCAGATGCTCCACACCTCGATGAGCTCTTTCTCTAGGGGCCTGGGTCTATTCTACAACTAAACTGGAGTCTTTTCCTGCATAATGGATACTAGAAGAATCCAGCACATCATCCAAAGGTCTCCAGTCCACTATTATGTCAGCATCCTTTTCTAAAACACGTAATAGGGGGTGCACCGCGGCTGCTCGGCACTGCGTCGTACGCACAGAGGCGGGGGTGGCTGCTGAGCGCTTGCTTGTGGAGGTAGGGACTGCAGCCCAGAATATTCATCCTTTAATGATGCAGGCTACTACACTGATGGAGACAGCTTCTGGTAAAGGCTGTTACAGCAATGGAGGAAACAGAGGTTTTCCTGGAATTAAAAACATGTGATAACACAGACTTAAAGAAATGTCTTGAAAGGGAGTTTCAAATTTCTGAAGAGATGGTGAAGGATCTACCTTCAAAGCACTGTAAAAGAATAATGCAGAGAGCGATAGAAGCAGAGTTATACCTTTTAAGTGTTCGCTATCAGATGTGCCTTCGTCACGGTTGTGATATTTACAAATTTGTCATGGAAAGTAAAGGATTAAACAGGAATTTACAAAGTAATTCTGCTAAGAAGGAATTAGAATCAACACTGCTGTCTATTTTAGAAGAATTAAATGTTAAATATATGAATCTAAATAAAAAAATACTCAAGGGCATACCATTAGAAGAGCTGCCCCCTTTGTCAATAGAATCAAAGTTACTGACAACCTTCTCTACTTTGGTTTCTGTGCTAATGAAAGAAGAATCACATGTCTTTTCAGGAGCAGTTTCTGAAGTAGGTAATCAGACTGCATCTGATGATGAGGTCTCTCCAACGCGAAAAAAACGTGCACTCTCAAATGTCTTTATTATCTGACAACAGTCATCCTGAACAAAAAATCACCTAAAAAAGGTGGTTTCGAAAATGGTGGTATCAATGTAGACTTTAATCAACTAAAACTTGATGATAAAGAGTGCAGAAATGACCATGAAGTCAGTGAGGACTGGTTTGATGCTAAAGAGAACGTGACAGGAGTTGACTCCTCAGGAATAGAAGAAAATCAAATAGATCATGACAGATGGAATCCGAAGTTTGTGGCAGCACAAATGAAGAATATTGAACCCCTCGAAAGAGATAAAGGGTTTTTGGTACATGTTGGTGGTCTCTGCCCTTCAGTATCTGAGGCTGATTTGAGATCTCACTTCCAGAAATATCAAGTTTCTGAAATCTCAATTCATGATTCTTCTACTACTTACAGATATGCATCTCTTTCTTTTAACAAAAACCATGATGCAAAGATGGCTGTGGAAGAAATGAATGGAATAGAAATAAATGGAAAATCAGTAAATGTGAGACTTGTTAAAACTCACAGAGAGTACATGTCACCACTTGCCTCAAAAAGAGGTTCAAATAATTTGGAGAAAAGTATGAACAAAGAAATCAACCCAGCCTCCTCTGTTTTTGCATTGCCCAGAACTAGGCTGAGGCAGATGATGTCTGAGCAAGACAGTAAGCTTTTGCCTTTGGACCAGGATGCTAAGAAGAATTGTAAACAGATTGAATCTGCTCAGTTTCCACCAAAAATACCTGTTCAGTTCATACCTCCAAATACATTGAACCTTAGTAGCTTTACCAAGATCATAAAGAAGCTGGTTGAACTGCATCCAGAAGTCAGCAGAGACCATATCATAGACGCTCTTCAGCAAGTGAGAATGAATCATAAAGGCTTTCTCAATGGCTTATCTATTAGTACTATTGTGGGAATGACTTTGTCTGTTCTGAAAAACTCTGCATCCCCTTAGGAGTAAACAAAACAGAGTGTCCTTGGAGTGTATGAGTGCCCATCTGCAGCAAAGCTTCTACAGCACATAAGAAAAGGTTGTGGTAAAGCAAGAGTGATACAATTTTGTAGATTCTATAAGAAGACTTAGCTGTTAAACACTCTGCTTTGTAGCTCTTCTAAATCTGGCAATACGTGTGTGATGTTAATATATCTATATAAAAATTAAAATACAATTTGATGTGTTTATAAATTTTATTTCAAATTTGTTTAAGGACTTCAAAGAACATATTTCGAATCAGAAAAAAAAATTGTCATGTCTATGTAAAAAAATCCTTTGTTAAGTACATTTTAAAAATTATTTGCCAGGAAGTCTGTTGTTACTGTTTCAAAGTTCATTAAATGATTTCCATGCATAATCTGAAGTTCACATCTTTGTTCCAGTTTTTATTTAATAGTCTTACATTGGACCATAGAGGCAAATAAAATCTACAGGCACATGTATAAAAAAAATAAAATAAAAAAATAAAACACGTAATATTCCTGAAATTAAGCTGTCCTGGTCATTGGTCTTGGCACAAGATAAATGAATATACACTCCTTCCTGTTCATATATAATCTTCCCATCTGCAGCACCCACCGCCGCCATGTTTCCCACTTGGTGATGACCAGGAAAGGTTTATTTAGTCCACAGTTAGTAGAGGTTTCAGTCTATACTTGGCTGGCTCCAGGCATTAGGCAGTCATTTGTGGTGGCAGAAAACAGCAAAGAGCAAAGGGGAGGAGTAGTGGCAACAGTAACAATAAAGAGTAAGTCTGTCTCCCTTATGTTGCATTCAAGCTATCCGTCCCAGGCTTGGTATAGTACTCACACCCATAATCCCAGCACTGGATCATGAATTAATCGTGACCTCATGAATTAATCTAGAGGCCACCCCATTGCTGCATGAGGCTTTGTTGGGGGACAACTAGACACAAGCCATAACACCAACAAAATCATGAAGCCTCTATTTAGGAGAAGGGATATAAGGTATTACTTCTCGATGTGAGGATCAAGAGGAATGAACCAGCTAACAGACTTCTTTTCTATTTTCATATTTATGACAATGGTAAAGTAATAAAATCACCTTCTAGAATTTTTATAACTCACACAATTTTTGAGGGACACTTGCTTTGTATGTCTGCTTATGATAGTACAGTACCAGGGAAAGCCAAGTTCCATCTCAACATGCACTCTGAGATATTGCACTCTCCGCACAGAGATAGGTAGTGAAGACTGAGAAGCCCATTGCTTTGCAGTGTGAAATTAATAGAGAGCACTTTCTCACAGTCACTGGCTGCTTTGTAAAAATCCTTTTTATCTGCGTGTGTGTGTCTGTTTGTGTGTATGTGTGTGGGTGTGTATACTTACACAAACTAGCAATGATTAGCAGTAAATGTAGTGGTGAAAAAGAACTTTAAAAGCAGTATTTAAGATTTTCCCATATGATATTTTGGGGTGTGCATATTTCCTTTTAAAAATAATGGATTATTAAAATAAAGTTTATAGGGGCCAGGGAGGAGGCTCAGTGAAATAAGCACTTCCCTGGCAAGCATAAGGGCCTGAGTTCAATCCCCGGTCCCACAAAAAAAAAAGAGTTAAAATAAAGCTTATATTTAAACAAGAAAAGTTACAATGATGATAATAATAATTCAAATAATGGCCAAAATTTGCTGCAAGTGAAACTAAATGCAGTACATTTTCTACTATTAAATCAAACATAAAAAGTTTATCAGCAGCACATAACTTCATCCACTACTCTAATCTTGATAATTTTCACTTATTATTTATTTTTACTTATTTCATCTATTAGTTGAATAATTTGTATTTAATTGATAAATTTGATTTGCTTTTATATTTCCATGAAATAGTGTAAGGCATTTATACTTCATTCACCTTAAAGAAACATATTAATTAAAATAATTTAAGTAAATCAGATTATTTATAATATTTTCCTTGAAGGATTTCTTCATTTTGTATTTAAGAAACATTAACCTAATGAGTAACTCCTTTAAGTCCAAAATCATTCTCAATATAGGAATAGGAAGAAGATAGAAAGACATCCATTCTAGGGTCCATTTTTTCCTTTCAGAGATTTTGTTGACGGGCTTCTAAAATTCTGGGTCTGATTACTCTTGCTGAGGTGGTCTTGTATTGCTTTTTAATTTTTAAAAATTTATTTATTTATTTGGTATAGAGTTGCACTACCCAGCTCAGACAGCTCAGTGATCCTCCTGTCTCAGCCTCCCTAGCACTGGGATTACTGGGATGCACCACCATGCCAAGTTTCAGGGCTGGCACGGTATGCAGGGTACCAGGGATAGAACCCAGGTCTTTGAGCTTGGCCAGGCAGGCACTTAGACCACCAAGCTATCTCTCCAGCCCTTGTTTTGCTTTTTAAGGACGTTTTTAATCATTTGCTTTGTCTCTGGAACAGCACAAATTTTAACATTCATCTTGAGATCTGTTTTAAGATTTTTCTACAGAAATTTGTTCTCTTGTGCTCTGAAGATATCTATCTGCTTTCAATTCTAAGAACACGCTGAGCTCTTTCTTCCCTCAGCACTTTTGCATTCACTGAGTCATTTCGTCTCCAAACACCTTCTCCTGACTTCGTACATGACTCTTCCTTTCAGATCCTTTAGGTCTGTGCTTCACCATTGCTTCTCCCAAATGCACTGCCATGACCCTCTGTCGAAGGGAGGTTCCTCTTGTTTCTTCTCGCAATTTTTTTTGTCCTTCCAATAATACTTACAGTAGTTCAGATGAGCATTTGAAACACTCATTTTACCTTCTCATTGCCTATTTCTCTCATCAGATTGTGACTGAAACAAGGTCACACTCCACATTCATCAGATTTTTTGTTGTTTTGCTTTGTGGTGATGAGGATCAAACCCAGGGTCTCACACAGGCACAAGTGCCCTACTGCTGAGGCCCACCTGCAGCCCCATAACAAGGATTTTGTATTCCCAGTATCCCACGTGCTACTAGCACATAGTAGAGACTATTACCCGATTGGAAATAGGTAACCTCTGCTTTTATGACTTCGTACATTCCTGGAAAGCAGATCACATAGGAAACCATTGTGAAAGCACTGAGAATTTATCCAATAGTGAAAACAGTCAATGAGGAAATTTAAAGAACCACTAGAAATTTAAAGAAGGTATATTGGTTGAGCTCCGTTGTTCAGAGCAGTCAAGAGTAGGGCCAAATTCCTAATAAAGAGTAGCTCTGGTATTTGAGCTACAGATACCTGCACTCACTTGCTCTCCTTATTCCTATGGGTGCTTTCCTCCATGGTTTGATGAGAGAGTGGAGGGGAAATAATGGCCCTTTAAGGTTCTATTTTGTTAAGAAGAAGACAATAAATGAATGCCTTAGTCAGGGGAAGATCAGTGCAAGTTGGTCTCAGTGGAATAAGTGATCAAAGAAATGACTACTTTTTAAGCCTCAGACATTTATTCATTCATCTTAGAACTCTGTTGAGTCATATATTGGATAGTTACTATTTCTCATTAACTCTAATATGCACCTTTTTCCCACCTTTAAATTTTCTCTGAAATAGATCTTAATAATAAATGCCATGTTGGCTAGTCTACTTTTTGCTTTTTTCTGTATAAAAAGTAGTCTGATGACAGTACTTTGGAACATTTAAAATAACACAAGGGGAAAGTCACAATATTACTTTCTTCAGGAAAGGAACTTAGAAGTCCCTTTCTAGGAGTCAGCCACTGAAGTAACCTTTCAGCAAAACATGGCCACTAGCAGTTCTGGGTTGTACTTGCTCTTTCAGCCAAAAGTGGAGCCTCTTTCCTCTCAGCACGATTCTAGCTTGTTCTGTGCTTTACTTTGGTTAATATAATGGTGTGAGACAAGTACACCATATGACCTATGCCATGGGCCTTGAGAGGGTTTCTAGTTCCTTTGAGGAACCACTGAATGATGATAGTTTGTAAGGGGATGGAGGCCCCTGAGGAGAAGTGAGCAGCCCAGTTAACAGCCAGCGCCAGATCCTTAGCATCTGACTGAGATGTCCTCGCATCCTCCAGCCACACCTGGTCTGGCCCAGACACCACCATGTGGAGCCTGAGCCATCTCCACTGAGCCCTGGCTGAGTTCTGAACCCACAGGAGCAATAAGATAATTTTTGTTTTAAACTATGAAATTTTAAAATACTTTCTAATGCAGCAATAAATAACTGAGATACTCACACAGTTAAGATTTAGGTCATTCAAACTGCCCTCTTGGCTTCCCCAAAAAACTTGAACAAACTCTCTTCTAATAAAGAAATAGCCTTCCATGATGTAAGCCTTAGAAAAAATGCCCATATTTCTCCCACACCAGATTTCCTGGCACTAACAAAACAATCATAAGTGCTACGAGAGGTCATAGTTTTAAAACAAGTGCTGCTGGGACCATTATTTCTTCATATCACCTTCTTTCTTGATTGTTTCAATGTGATAGCACTTCTTGAAGTATCTGGGGCTTCCAAAAGACATTTTGTTGTGTAACAACATAAAACTGTATAACTGATGGCAGAATCACACCTAATAATGTCTAATTCTTCTAAGTAAGAAATGATTGTCTAGCCACGGCAGTTCCACAAGAGAGTTACTTTGGACAATCATTGTTCAAGACCATGATTAGCTAATGATCTGGTTCTGGCAAACTGAGGACTGCAGTGGCACAGCGAGCCCCTCAGCCCCACTCTCCTGAGGGCTGCTGCTCAGGAAAACCGACCTGCTGATGAAGCAGGATATCCTCAGTGTGTGTGGCAGTTTCTCAATAGGAAGTATGAGCATTAGGAACATTGCAAAAGAGAGGGCAAGAACTCTGAAAGATTAGTATCCGGTGAGGTGTTAGAAGGAACTGTAAGCTACTTTGCATAACAACTTCAGAATGAAAGCTATTTTGGTAGCCCACTGTGGTGCTAGTAACCAAATAAAACTGCAGCATCATAAAACTAGGAATGTGCAGGAATCGATGAGTCTGGTT